ATAAATAAACAAATAAAATAAAATACTCAGGGGCTGGGGAGATGGCTCAGTAGAATAAGCACTTGCCTGGCAAGTGCAAGGGCCTGAGTTCAATCCCCGGTTCCACCAGAAAAATAAAAAAATAAAATACTCACATTACTTAAATCCTGGTATCATTATACCATCCACTTCTTATCTACTCCCTACAAGTAGCTACCCCCAAAGCATTCTTAAGCATTTACTATTAAATTAATAAGAACTCAATAAATATAAGCTGTGAGACATGGTATAATGGCTTTTGGTGCTGAGATATAATGCATTTATATTCATCAAGTACTTGATGGGTAGAAGAAAACTTCCCCACAAAACCGCTACCTCCTCTTCTCTGAAACAGAAGCTGCTAACCAAATGTAGAGAGAAAATTCAACTTTAAGGCAATAGGGGCTTCAGCAAGACAATGTATACCAAATATAGTACACAAGATAACGTCATACTTAGATTTTAGGCAAATTAAAGTTTCAGAAAGTTCTGGTTCAAAAACAATCAGGTGGGGCTGGAGAGATGGCTCAGTGGTCTAAAGCACCTACTTGAAACAAGCTTGGCAAAGCACAGGGACCGCGGTTCGATCCCCAGCACCACATGCCAGCCAGACCCGCCCCCTGGTGGGCTGAGCTGGCCACACACACACACAATAAATAAATGTAATAAATAAAAATAAATATTAAAAAAAAAACCAATCAGGTGTATTCATTACATGCAAACGCAGCCTCCATCCAAAATTTTATATTCTATGCAGCAACAATAGGCCTGAAAAAAATGAGGACCTTGTGCATGTAGCTCTGTGTGTGCGTGTGCATGTGCATGTGTGTATACTGAGGGGATAGGTGGATGGTTCAACATAAACCAAGAATTAGCTTCAACTAGCTTCCTTTGAGGCCTGGCATTTTGCTGCAAATACCCCAAGTGCTAAAATGCTCAACCACCATCATGGGAGCATTTGAAACTAAGACAGAAATGAAATTACTGAAAGAAATTAACACAAAGCTGCTACTGTAGTCTTTTGTGCAATTTAATTTATAGTTGGCATGACTAATTATATATTCATTCATCCATCCTTCACCCTTTTCCTTCCCTCCCCCTTTCCTTGCTGCATTTTACCTTGGCCTTCTGGAGTCTCACCAAAGGGATTCACTTCTACCTGAGTGGCATCAATTTTCAGGAAGAGATTATACAGCTTCTTAATTTGATCTGCAGCCTAAATGTGATCAAGTGAAATAGAATTACATCAAAGCAGTAAAAGAAAATTTATTTTACTTGATTAATGAAACCTTAAAAACAGCAAATTATGTCTTTATTTTCAGTTAGGTTTTCTGAAGGGAAAAACAGAAAAGCATAATTATTTTAATCTGCACTGCTATTCATTAGGAGGAATTGCTCAACATTTCTCCAGATACCAGAAGAGACCCTTATCAAGAAAACAAAATATTTTCAGTACAATCTAAAAATGTTATTAATCATTTTGTAAATTATCAAGTCCCTAGTAGCCAAGTTAGACTGCAGTACAAGCTACAATCATTAATACGAACTCCATTCAAGTAAAAGGTAAATATGATTTTGGGTGTTTATAATGATTAGGTTTTCCTTATTATGCTGGAATAAAACATTATTAAATTTATTAATCAAAACTTATAATCTGCAAGGCAAAACAATCACAGAATACCTAATGGAAACTGTTACAAAACAGAAAGATGAACATCTTGAACAGTACAGATCCAGAATGGTAGTTTACACTGAAAACAACTTTGTCCCAAAAGCATAAATCATAAAGGGAAAGACTATCCAAGGTTTCCCTAATATGGTGAGATTTCTTTTTTTATTCAGCCTTAAAACTCACCCAGTCACTCTTTTCAACCAACATTTACTTACTGCCACTCAAAGCAGGGGACTACTGTGTGAGCTGTGGCTTGGGATGACCAGATGAACAACTCAGGGTACTATCTCTAAAGTCTACACTTAGAGTGAACAGGACAAGCCTGTGCCATTAGGGTTGATAGTGCGTATCAGCCGCACTCTTAGCTTCAGTCTGTTTCCCAGCTGTGGTTCTCCCACTGACACTTCTGGTCACTGTACCAGCCCTGCACTCCTGATCTTCAGACCCATGAGGCCCTGCCCCACTCTGCTCCATAGGCAAGAGTCTGACTATGAGATGAGTTTTAATGGTTGCTGCATCAGCTGGCTGCCAGATCAGTTCAGAGTATTTCTCCTCTGCTCTTTCTGCTGGGGCAGACTCTTACTCTCCAGCTATAGCTTCAACTAGAAGACCCACCAGGGCTCAGGCTTCAGTTTCCAAAGGCTCAGTAGCACGGCTGCCGCATCCCATAAATCTCAAGTGGGGTCAATACTGAAAGCAGTTCCAGGCTTGACAAAGGAACTTCTGTAGATTTCCTTCATGTTGTCTTAATGCATTTCATGTCTTTTTGTAAATATCCTTATCTCCTAATTTGCAACCAAGTATATAAACAAATAAATATCCCAAGTGAGCAAGTCTAAGTAAGTATTTAATCTTAAATATTTTTATGGCAAGATAACACATGGTATAAATTCCCTAAATGCCCAAGGTCTTCCTGTGAATGTACTTCCTTTACCCAGTTGGCCCCTCCAGAACAAAACATAGTCCTCTTACCAATATATGCTTCACTTGAGAATTCTTCTATGTACATGCAAATGTGCACATTGTATCTTAAATTTAATTCCATACCTTATTTCTTTACATAATAAATTTTAGATACCCTTCACTGGCAATGTAAACACATTGGTGTCTGCATCGATTTTATCATGTTGTACCATAATTTTGACTGTCATTTAAAAAGATGGCTACTTGCACTGTTTCTAATAGTTTGATATTATTCAAAAAGGTGCCTTATCTCTATAGGTATATCATACATGTGATTGAATATTTACAGGATAAATTAATCAGAGGAAAGCAAAAAAGGGTTCAAGCATTTTATGCATCAAGAGAGCCCATTAAATTGCTCTTGCTAGAAGTGGGCCCTAATTTCCCCTCTCACAAACCAGAATCAGAGAGCCTTTTTCCACTCAGCCCATCAGCCATCTGGATACAGGATAGTAGGGGTGAGAAAAAAGTATCTCATACAGTTTGGGTTTGGAGGCCCCAAAAGACATTTGTATTGCCTTTTCTATTAACGTTAATCATATTTTCCTATTGAGATTTTGGTCTTTTTCTGATTAATTTTTATGTATTTCTATGTAAAAGAAATTTGCTCTTTATGTCATGTAAATTGTAAATATATTTCCCCTTTAACATTTATCTGTCAGCCATGCTGTTGTAGCTTTTGCAACATGGAAATTTGGTCTGAATCATGCCACTCTTTTTTTTTTTTTTCTGGCTTTGTGGCTTTTGGTTTTATATCAAACTTTCAAAAGGCCAATCTCATTCTGAAAGGATTTTTCTTTTTAATTCTACAGTTAATTTTAAAAATGCAAACAGAAATTGCAATAAAATACAAAATGAATCAAAAACTCATGACTGAATTTGTTTTGTTTTGTTTTGTTTTGTTGGGGTGGGACCTTGTTACACTGCCCAGGCTGGTGTTGAACTCCTGGTCTCAAACAGTACTCCCAACTCCACCTCTCGAGTGGTAGAGACTACAAGTGAGCACCACCACAGCTGGCATTTTGAGAACTTCTAGTTATTGCTGTGAGCTTGCAGTGCAGTTGCTGCAGGAGAGAGGCAGCCTATCTTCCCTGATACTACAGCTCTCACATGGTGCTTCTGCAGCCCCAGAATGTCAGCACTTCATAAATACTTGGTGATTTGGTAATTAGTGTTATTAAAATAATAAGGGGAAACTACATAACAGAAATAATTTTGGGCATATAAATACATGTTATCCCAGCCATTTGAAAAGTACCTTTTTGAAAACCTGTGGAAAAACACAAAGAACATGAACTTCACCATCTCAAACACCCTCAAATGTCCACGCAGCTTCTGAGTTGCTGGGCACATTCACACTGTGGTGCAACCTCTCATCAGAACTTCCTGTACCCAAACTGAAACACTACACCTGGATTGGAATGCTACGGTTTGAACATGATTCAGCCCCTCACACACACATGATGCTCAATAAATAAATCTGAATGGTTAAAGTCTTCAGAATGGGACACTCATGATCAAATACCAGTAGCTTTCTAAGAGGGAGAGAGACCAGAACACACATCTGCTCCCCATTCCCTGTGCTTTCCAGACTCTGCCAGCAGGAAGGTCATCATCAGATGAGGCCTCTAGACCCTAGACCAGAATCTTGACCCTGTATAAGCCTCTTTTATATAAAGCTACCAAGCTCCAGGCATTTCACTTTAGTAGCCACATTGCTCTGTTACACCCATTAGAAATAACTCCCCATCCCTCTCCTTCTGGTCCCGACAACAACCTATTTTCTGCCCCCATGATTCAGACTCTCCTAGGCACCTCACATATGGGAAATCACATCATATTCAACTTTTAGTGACCAGATTATTTCAATTATCATAATGCCCTCAAGGTTTTGCTTTTCTGAATGATGTGTCAGACTCTTCCTTTGCAAGTACATTAAGGCCGCTGTAATCACAAATTAGCATAGCATTTGGGGGAAGTTGTTTGAGTATTTTAATTTTTACTGTTTTGCAAAGATAAATATGTACAAACATTTTGCAAGCAAAGCTGAGGTATGATTAGCTCTGTACTGTAAAATCTACAAAGCTTCTCCCTTATAGGATATCTTATGCCACAGATTATAGCCTCTGTGGTTGTAAGGACTCAGCAGGCAAAATCCATTTGTCTAAGCAAATGTAGTAATGGGCAATGGCAGGGTACATGACAGGCTGAGATCCACACTACGGCTTTCTAAGTGTGTTCAAATGATAAAAAACAAATTAAGCACAAGAGAAAGAAAGCATTCTGCCGGTCAACGAGCAGTTCATTATTTACTCCTACAATCTCCTCTCTCAGTCTGGAACCTCTACATACAGAAAGAAATGCCTTTTTTTGGGTTACAAGTTCATGTTATTTTCAGATTGTTTGTTGTGGAATTTAATTTAAAACTTGAATCTCAGGGCCTGCCAGATGGCTCAGCAGACTAAAGCACCTGCTTAGGCAGAGCACAGCCATTGGGGTTCTATCCCTGGTGTGCCATGCTGGCCCATCCCCAAGGCATGCTGAGATGGTGATTGAGACTGGGTGTGGTAGCATGCGCCTGTAATCACAGCACTTGGGAGGCTGAAAACAGGAGAATCACTACGAGTCTGATCTACATAGTGAGACCCTATAGACCCTGTAAAAAAACCAAAAAAAACAAAAACAAAAAAACCCTAAGCCTCTAAAATTATATATATATATATATATATATATATATTTTTTTTTTTGACAAATTAAAACACAACTTCAAAAATGGTTTAACAAGTTAAAAGATTTCAAATAACTTTTATTACATTTAAAAAAGTATTAGCATTCACACAGGGCTCTCAACCTAGCCCGATACACAAAACATTCCCGAAGTGCTAGGGATCTTGCACAAGTTTGGCCATCAGTTTTCCCCCATGGCCTCAACGCTAGAGGCACATGTTGACAATCTGTAGCATCTATATTTTGAGAAGCAGTAATTAGTAGTCCCATCTCATCCTTGGGTTCACTGTCCATGGCTTCAGTATTAGAGGTTAACCCTAGGCTGAAAATACAGTCTAGAATACCAGGATACTTTAAAAGGCAGACCCACATTCAAATAAATCTTATTACAGTATGTTGTTAGAATTTATCTGTGGGTATTATTAATTACTATATGTAATCTATAAATTAAACTTTAAGTGTTTTAAAAAACATTTGTTTGTTTGTTTGGTACTGGGTCTCCCTTCACAGCTCAGACCCATACTGATCCTCCTGTCTCAGCCTCTCCAGCACTGGGATCATAAGAGTGCACTACTACACCCAGGGGGGGTGCCCTGGAGCAGCACGACATGCAGTATAGGAGATCGAACTCAGGACCTTGTGCTTGCCAGGCAGGTGCTTACACTGCCGAGCTATCTCTCCAGCCCCTATAATAAGTATGTCTTTATAGGGGGAAAAAAAACCCAGTATATATAGGACTTAGGACCTTTCCTCAGTTTCAGACATACATGGAGTCTTGGCATATAACGCATCTGGACAAGGGAGGAATGCTCTAAGTGATAATTAAGAGATATTGAAAAACATATCAATTTTTAGTTGCATTAAACTTTCCTACGGGTTTAGATTTTTTTCAAAAGCTCCTGCCAAATTAATTTCAGTCTGAAGCAAATACTTGGTAGTTTTTATGTAAGCTGAAGTTATCACCTTAGTTTTTATTAATATTAATAAATCACTGTTCAAAGACAAGAAGCAGGAGTCTCAGGAAAAATCTCAAGATAATCATTTGATGATGTTCATTCATGAGTGAGATGTCTCCAAATGCCTAAAGCACATACTAGATGAAAATTAGATAACTTTCAAAGTCACACTGAATTTAAGGGACTTCTAAGATACCATTTCTTTATGAAAGGATCAGTCATTATAATAATTTAAATGTTTCCTTTCTCAGATACCTTCTCTGCTTCTGCACCCTGGTTCCCTGGCACATCTAGGTAATGCCCATGGCTTAACCAGATATCCAGACTGACAACTCAAGCCCCAGCACACAGTCTTCCTTGGGCTTTGATGCCATCCAACTTTCTATTATACAAACATACTTGTATGTCCGTCATGCGTAACTGAGCTCTCCCCAGTTATGCAACATGCGTAACTGAGCTCTCCCCATCTCCCATGTCTCTGTCTCCCGCATGGAGCCCTCCTCCTATACTCTCTGCTGTCTAGGTGGCCAACCCTGGTCTGTGAGTCTCTTGAGGAAAGCCGCACTTGTTTCTTTTTCCCAGAGTGTAGCAGAGTAAGCAGCTGAGCAAATACAAATTTACAGCCTTTCAAGGTGTCATCAAGAGCGAGAGAGAGAGAAATGAATAATTTCCTTTCTTTTCTTTGATAAATTAAGTTAAAAATATAGTGACACTACAACTGCTCAATAACCCCTTGCATCCTCCTTTGCCTTTCCTTGGTAAGTCATTTAAAATAAAGTGTTTCAGGCACTACGAAAATGTGATTATACCATTTAAGAGCTATAAATAACTCAATTTCCACTTATAATATGTAGGCAGTGGGGGTATCCCATGATGTATATAATATTATTACTGCCTTCTCCAATATTCCTATTGTGCTCACCTCCTGAGTTTTCACATAATGGGGTCAACAGATTTTGTCCACTCCAGATTTATTCTTCCGCCAGGAAAAGCCACCTACTGACAACTTCCTAGGAAATGCTTCAAAGTGAACAGCCCAGATGTCTTGTTTCCCTTATTTCCACACATGACAAATGTCTCCTGGGCAACTAATATATATGCCAAGCACTATGTGGGCTGCTGGCACAAAACAGCAATGAACAAGATGGACAAAGTCCCCGCTGTGATGAAGATTAGGATCTAGTGAAGGTGACTACAAATAGCAAAGAGAAACACAACAGTGCAAAGTGCTATAGAGGAGGTAGACAGCAGTACACTCTGGAGCTGGTAGAGAACAGAGTAAGTAAGACACAGTTACTGTATGGAAAGCGGCTGTCAGTGACCACCACCCAAAAGGAGAAGTCCCTTAAATGTCAAAAGAAGCCTGTGTGTGGTTAGTAATCTCATTCTGAAGTAGTAAAGCTAATCACTACACAGGTATCAAGAAATTTCTTTCAACAGATAACTTTCTCCTCTCCTCCCCTGTGCTCCTCTTCCTTCTCCTCTCCTTTCCTCTGTACTCCTTTCCTTTTTTTCCTGTTCCTTCAAGTACTATACTTCTGCATGACCTCCTCAGCCCCCAAACTGACCTTTACAGAATACTGTAATAAGTACTTTCATGCACCGTAATACTCAATCCCTATAATACTCCCAGCACCACCACCCCCCTTCAGTTAGCGGTAATCACCTCCATCCTACAAATACTGAAACTCAAGTTTGGGTGGACAAAATCATATAGGTAGCAGGCGGTAGCATCAACAATGCTACAGGAAAAAAAATAAATAAAAAGATCACCTATGTATCATAAAGTATAGGTACCAACATGCAACATATACATGTACACACACACACATGCACACACACACACACACACACACACACACACACACTAGTCTCTTTAAACACTAGGAAATATTTTTCTTTATCATAAGCAACTAGGGAAAAATTATAAAACAACAATCCTGTTTCCTGGTAATCACAATATCAGAAACAATTAAGCAAGTTCCCAAATGTTTTCTGAAAGAAGTCAGACATGCTGTCCTGTAATGGCTTATGTACCTGGTTTTTCAAAGGCCCAAGGAAGCCCAGATTTTCTGCCATCCGCTGAGCTTGGCTGTCCTTTATGCCTTCAAAAATGTCAATTGGCTCCTAGTAAAAATAAATCAAATGAACAAAATTCACATAGTCAAGTGAGAAGATTTACAACCTCCAAAAGAAATGCTCAGTATTTATTTGCAAATGAGTAATTAAACTGTGGCGCCTTTCCAGAGATCTCTGAACAGGGCTACTGCAGCTGCCTATAGGGTATGTTTTAATTAGCAGACCATGGATGAAACAGCCCTTCCAAAAACTATGTAATTCTTCAAGGTGGCATGCTGACAAGATGATCTGATGCCAATTTTCACTTTTAATTACTATACAGATGGCACTGATGAATATTTAGTCAGTTAATTTTTATGACATCTTTTGGAAGTCTTCCAAAGAAGGTTTTGTTGCCTAATACTGCTGTTAAGTTTAGAGTTGTCATACATAGGTTAAACATTATCCTATGATTTAAACACTGCATTGATGATGAACACTATTAATAATACCTTAGCTCTACAAAGTATTCTCAAAACACTGAATGCTACATATATATATTATACAGTATATATTATACATTATACACTTGCATATATTCTCTTAGAAAAGAGAACTGTTTCAGATAATGATATTTTGAAAACAGTTAGGCATTACTGATAAGTACATGTGTATTTTAAACTTCCAAGGTAGTAATCGTACATATGTAACATTGATGACAACACTTTAAAACCAATCACCATTGTCTGAGTACATTATCTAGACAAAGATTCAGGAAAATTAACTCTGTCTTTATAAAAGGATGCAAAATCACTTTCTGAAAGAAATAATAAATGTTCTGTTAGAAATCATAATTTTGACATTTTAAAACACAGATTAAAAACTGAAATTATAGTTTGACTATAAATTTTATATACTGTTTCTTATATAGTTAGGATAAGAAGGATTTTACACACATCACTTCATTTAATATTCGCATTTCTGCAAGACATAAATTACACTATTTTCATTTTTCCAATTTAAAAAAAATGAGGCTTAGAGCCAGTAAGAAACTCATAGACCATAGAAACAAAAAGATACTTACAAACTAGTCAGATTTGACTACTTATCTCTTCAACTTGAACTAGTCTTATAAATGCAACAAGACCTAAGGATTAAAACAAATGGATAGAACCTGGACCTTGAAAAGATTTTATTTTATTCAAGAAATAATCTGCCTTTTTTAGAGAGAATTCTTTAACTATAAATAAAGTTAAACAGAGCAGGGTAATCCAGAGGAAAAGGAAATGTCACAGTGCTTTCCTGCTGGTAAGTACTGGTCAATACTTGGGGCAGGGTGGATTAAAAGGAATGGCAGAGGAGTGGGGAAAAGAAGAAAAGAGCAAACAAAAAAGCCCTTAATATTAACACTACTTCTATCTGACTTTCTACTGGGTGCCCAGCAAGAAAAAGGATCAACATCTACTTTCAATTTCAGAGACAGAAGTATTGCTCCCAGGCTTAGACTCCACACTGAGAGTTTAACAGCTTCTACAATAACAGTTCCTTTAAAACAGCATAGTCAGATACTTAAGCATACCTTAAAAATAAGTTCTGGACTGGAAGCGGCCACTTCTTCAATGTCAACGCCGCCCTGGGGGCTGCCCACCAGCACAGGGCCATTGTAGGCCCGGTCCATCAGAATCGCTAAGTAGGTTTCTCTGGAAATGTCCAGGGCTTCAGCAATCATCACCTAGCACATTAGTGGGGAAGTCAAATTAATTCAGCATCAAGCAAATTTGCACTGGGAAATCTATACAACCTTACTACACAAATCAAATGACTTCATTTTCAGCAAGTTAATCTTGTGCCTTAGCTCCCAGAGACTGAAGGATTCTCCTTCGCAGTGTGCAACGCCCATTTTCACCTCCTAAATTGATCCTGCTAACTTATTCAAAGGATGAGAACTTGGTTTGCCTCAAGGAACATTTCCATTGTAGTCTTTTTTTCTTCCTTGACAAACTCCATTGCTTAAGAAAAATCTCCCGTGAAGCAACTGTTGTTTTAATTTGACATAATAACATTACATATATAACACTGTGCTGACTTTTCTCAGATTTTATTGGACAATGAAATTTGCTAAGAAAGGGTTCTTTTACAGTATATCTGATGTTTCACAAGTTTGTATACTTCTATCTCTTGGATCACTGTATTTTATTTTAGCTTATACTTTCTTTTAGTTTATAAATACAATACTTGCTTGTTCAAAAATACTGTAATACCTACCAAAAGTACATAGGCAAGGGAAGGAAAGCAGCCAACTGGTGTGCACACCCCACATCCACTATGCTATCCAGGAAACAGTGTGTCTTCCTGGCTTCCTTGGGAGAAGGCAAACACTGGCCAGAGCCCTGGCTGGGCAAAAGGCAACGTGGAGAAAAGGGTTCATTAACCCTCACTGCCTCTGCCAGCTGCCCGTCGCTCTCAAGAACTCCAGCAAACATGGTCCCTTTTTAATCTGTCTGCTAGCATGAGGGGTTAGATCATCCTGCACATGGAAGCATACTGTACACACTAGGAGGCTTTTTGTTTTAACTCTTAACCCCACACAGGGCATTTTTGTAAGCTCTCCTTTTCCCCTATAATTTTTCAGTACATACATGCTAATATTTATTTAAACATGTTCCTACTAATAGCTATTATGTGAATTTAAATTTTTCTGTCTACTGCAGTCATTGTTTATTTATTTATTTATTTACTCATATATCTTTCCTCACTTTGCATCTCTATGCAAAGTATGATGGCAAGGTTTAACGTCTAAATATTTAAGATTTGACAAATACTATCAATTTGTCTTTAAATTAAGAAGGGCTATTTGTATTTATACGCCCAATAAGAACGTGAAAAATATCTTGCTTGATTCTGAAAAGAAAATAAGCACATTCTTAAGGGATCAGTAAGATTTGAAAATAGAAGAAACATTTCCAAGCCCAGCATGGTGAGGCATGTTTGTAATCCCAGCACTCAGGAGGCTGAGGCAGAAGGATTACTACAATGTCAAGGCCAACCTGGACTACACCATGAGTTCAAGGCCAACCTGAACTACACAGTGGAACCATGTTTAAAAAATGAAAATTCTACTGCTCTTCCTAAAAATAGTTTAATAGAAGGCTTCATGTGAAAAGTTATGACTTAAATGGTCTTAGGTTTCAGCTACTTCTACCTACATGGCTCAACATTTCACATTCAGTCACATCCAATGAATAAAGATATACATACCAAAAACAGTTTGAATGTAATAAACATACAATTCCTTTTCCACATAGGCTAGGAGTATCAGTCAGCTTGAACATGTGCTTAACATGTAGTAGGCCCTAGGTTCAATTTCTGGCACCAAAAATAAATAATAAAAGATATGTAACTTGAAAGAGAATTATTTGTTCGTACATGTTGCTAGGATCATGACAGAACCATCCTGATATCAAGGTGTTGTCCTTTCAAAATATGAAAGGGAAACCATCTGTCAGTACAGATTTTTTCAGTTTTAAGGTAGTTGGGTACGTAGTCAAGGCTCAATCTCTGAGGAAAGGCAAAACACCAAAAGCAAGAAGTATTTCTTCTATTTTCTTATCAAATGTGGTAAAAACATGCAGTTAAGAGAAATAACAAGAAATATGCCTTTGTAAGCATCAGCATTAATACATCCATTTGGAGAAATAAAGACAACCATTTCTCCTAAAGCTTTCCTTAGGACAGTGAGATGTTCTAAGAAATACGGCAAGCAAGAAATACAAAACGAAGGATGTGGGCTTTTGCGCTTTATCTCTGCCATGCTAAGTACTATTTGCTTACCACTTCAGTGCACCTACTGAGTGAACTTTAGGGACTCTCAGTGATTATGAAGCTGCCACCAGGAAAATGATTAGTAGATATAATTCAGGGTATCTTATAGGGAGAGCAGATTTTTTTCATGTTATTAAGCTATCCCAAGGATGCCGAATGTCAGGAGACGTTTAGAGATTGTCACAGAAACATCTGCTGGCCAACACAAACACTGGTCCAGAAGAAGGGGAGGGAGGTACATTTCTAAAGAGCTTCAATGACGAGCTACATAAAGATTATCAACACACTCATTCTGTGGACTCCTCTAATAGTACAAATGTTTAATGTTCTTTTTCATAAATGCTATTTTGTTTGAAAAAACCACAAAATTTCATTATACAAAATAAGAGATAATAAATCATTATGTTCAAAACAGTTATTCAGTAAAAGATCTCAAGAAAAAAATGATTTGTACAAACAGGAAACAAATACATAATAGCACAAAATAGTTATTTTCAGTAAAGTAGGAGAAACTAGTAGTATAAATGAAACAAATTAGCATTTATATTAAATATTTTTGAAACAACAAAATAGGTGATTTGAGGAATTATTCGAACTTCTCCCTACTTCCTTTTTATCTTCTATTTTGTTCTTTAACTACATAAACATACTGGGATTTTTAGTTTCTTATACAAAAGAAGCCATGCTACATTCCATCTTGTGTATCTGACTTATTTCACATTAGGTTCTCAGGTTGTATCACTTACCCATGAATGTCTCGGATTTATCTTTATGGCAGAGATGTGCTCTATCATATGTAAATATCATATTTTCCTTATGCATTCATCTCTTGAGGGTCATATTACTGTTTCCAAGACCGATATATTCTCAACTGTGCTGCTATAAATGTAGGTATGAATGAATCCTTCCACTATACTACTTTTAATGCTTTGGAGAAAATACCTAGAAGAAGGGAATACCTAGGTGTAAGGAAATTCTAATTTTAGCTTCTTGAGGTCTCTCTACACCAATTTCCACAGTGGTTGTACTAGCTTACATTCCTACCAATAATATAGAAGACTCTCCTTTTTCCCACATTGTGCCTGTATTTGGTATTCTTACACTTTTTAAAGACAGTCATTCTTCTGGGCTAGATAGTATCTTAGTGTATTTTCTTTTCTTTTTTTGTAGTTTAGGGAAGGGTCTACATGGTGTTCAGGGTCTCACTACTAGATGAGACTCATAGTGATCCACCTGTTTACAGCTTCCCAAGAGCTGGGATTACAGGCTTGACCACCATACCCAGTCTCAATTACCATCTCTGGGTGCCCTGGGGGCGGGGCCGGCACCTGGCAGGCCTTGGGATCAAATCCCTGGCTCTTGCTCCTGCTAGCAGGAGCTTTAAATCCACTGAGCTATTTGGCCAGCCCCTTGTATTTTTAATCTGAATTCCTCCAATGGCCAGTGATGCTGAACTTTTCTTACATATTTATTGGTAATCTGTACTTTGGAGAAGTGTCTACTCATTTCCATTGCCCATTTTTTGAATGAGTCTTTTATTCTGGGGAGTCTAAGTCTGTTGCATTCTTCATATATTCTACATGTTAGTCTGCTGTCTGAGGAATACCTGGCAAAATTGTTTTACCATTGTGTAGTTTATTCATGCTACTGGTTGTATCCTTTGCTGTGCAGATGTTCTTTACTTTCATATGATTCTACCTGTTGCATCTTGGTGTTATTTCTTGTGCCATTGGGGTTCTTTTCAAACATTCCTCATCTATGCCTATGTATTCAAGGTGTACCTATTTTATCTTTCCAGCAGATTATTTCTGTTTTAGTATCAGAGATTTTTTTTTTAATGTATTTGGTACAGTGTCTCACTATGCAGCTTGGACTTGTAGTGATCTTCCTGTTTTCAGCTAGGATTACAGGCATATGCCACCACACCCAGACTCAGTGGCTGGCTCAGTGTGCCCTGGATGGGGCCAGCATGGCATGCCTGCACTTGCCTAAGCAGGCACTTAGTCCACTGAACTATCTCGCAGGCCCTGAACATGTAGATCTTTGATCCATTTTTAGTTTAGAACACAGAAAAATACAAGACTCAATATTCTGCATGTGGATATCCTATTTCTCCAGCACCACTTATTAATGAGGCTATCTTTCATCTGATGTGTTTTTTTGCCCCTTTGTCAAAGATCAAATAGCTCCCTGTACCTGGGACTACTTCTGCTTCTCCTATTCTTTTCCATTACTCATGTCTGATTTTGTGCCAGTACCTTGCTATTTTAATCACTGTAGTGTTACAGTATCATTTCAAGTCTAAGAATGTGATGCCAACTGTTTTGCTTTTGTTATCGAGGACTGCTTTTGTTATTCTGAATCTCTTCATATGATTTTAGGACTGTTTTCTCTAGATTTGTGCAAAATGTCATTTATATTTTGATTGAGATTACATTATGTCTGAAATGTCTATATGTAAGTACAGGCATTTTGATTATACTAGTTCTGCCTATCCAGGAACAGAAGGTATCTATTTTCTGGTGTTATCCTCAATTTCCTCTTTCAGAGTGATGTGATTTTCATTAAAGAAGTCTTTCATTTCATTGGTTAATTACTAAGTATTTGATTTTTTTAATGGTATGTTTTCCTAATATTCATAATGTTATGTTTTCCTATGCTAGTATTTTCCTAATTTCTTTTTCATTGGGCCTATTAATAGAGTCTGGGAATTTTCCCTGTGTTTATTCTTAGTGTATAATGTGTGTTTATTTTGTATCCTGATACACTAATGAATCTGGTTATTAGTTCTAGGAATCTTTTGGTGAAGTTTTTGTAGATCTTGCAAGTAAAGGATCATGTCATAAAAAAATAGTACTTTGACTTTGTCCTTTCCTATATTCCCTTATTTCTTTCTCCTGCCTGATCTGG